TTTTTGTAGCTGAAAAATACGTTATTTTCTAGTCGACGTTTCGTTTTTTTTAGGATTTTTTACATTTAGGGTTTAGGGTCAAAGGGGATTTCGTGAAAGTTTGCGAAAGTCTAGGGAGACTTCTTTTATGCATTTTCGGAAAGCCACCTCGCGCCCAGCTCTGTATGTGATATAAGACTTCATTTACTCAGCTGTGGGTGCACATCATCTACATAATTCATATAGGACAAGCGCCTTCCATCACTTCTAACTATCATTCATCCTATCAAAGCTCTGAAATCTCATTTTTTGTGCCATTTTATATGCTTCTGCTTTTTCGCTTTCAAAGATGTTGAGCTATGGCGTTTGACTCATCCAGCGTGTAAAAACCTTTGACTCTCTAAAAGAGTAAGAGTATTGGCTATATCTCGGAGAGCCATTAATGTTGAGTGAGATCAGTGCCGAAAAGTTCTAAAGAAAACTACAAATTTTTTGGGTTTCAATCTTGAGCTAGTGCTTTAGTACACTCAGACTTGTGAGGGAGGCTATAAAAATTTTGTGAGCAATCAAAAGTGCATTCTTCTAGACACCTTTGCCACCTCGTACCGCTTTCTGAAAGACATCCTTATTTTAAAATGAGTTCTAGTCACATGCATTTACTTCGTATTGCAAGTTGATAAATTCTTATGCTTCATTGTTACCTGCAAATCTAGGATTCACCGAGATAGTGCCAAGCAAAAAATTCAACCAAACTTGGAATTCATTCCGATGAATTATAACTATTTATTTTAGTTTAGGTTATTATCTTCATTATTTTCCTACTCAGGTAAGACGATCCCCAAACTGACTGAATTATAGATCAAAAGAAATTACTTCGTTATAGTCACCTGACAAAAATTCTTCCTTTGCTGCGCAAAAGGGTTTTCTCGTGGTAGGATAGACTTTGTCTTCCTTCTTACTGCTGATGGCATTTAGCTTTCAATGTGTAATGGAATCGTTATACCAAAGATGAATGACAGAACTTCTTGAAGCTTCCGCTCCTTGTACGAGTTTACATCCTACTCTCCATTTTCAGATGTAAATTTTTTTTTGCTGAATATCGTCCAGCTAGCCCTTATGTCAAGTCATTTTGGCAAATGTTATAGTCTCGGCGGCATTTGCATGATAAGTTCGTCTTCGTCCAAGTTAAGTTCGTCTTTGTCTAAGTTTCTTTAGCTCGCGACGGACTGATTTGTTGCAAGCTTTTTTCTCATGATGAGGAGCGCAATTCACAATAATTTATTTTACTATTTTGGGTAGCAAACATCAAGGCCTTATCCGGATGGATTCGAAATGTTGCGATGAGCGGGTTAGTACCCACACGTGAAAACGTCAGTACAAAGAAACTCATGCGATCATAAAACATTATGTGATCAATGCGGAGGAATATATCATCTCAAATTATGGGATTTTCGGATTGTAAAGGAGCTTAAACGTCAATCATCGTCATTATTTACTCTTCCTGCTTAGTCCATCGTAAGGTCGCTTTGATGATTGTCTTTCCTCACTTGCAATGCCAAAACTCTGACTCCTATCAACAAATTAAACCTTCATACGAAAATAAATCGTAGATTTCCAAATATTCTGCTGTTTATCTTCTGGCCGCAACGCTTCTTTTACTCTTTTAGACATCTAATATTATCCTGTAAACCTCTAAAGGCCGGTCCCTTTTTCCATTTGGCTATCAAATAGCAATAGACTGATAGAGATCTTGCGCATTGTTCGTTTGATTTTGTAATTTTGGCTGCTGTGTTGTATAATACATCATCCAAAAAGTGTTTATGTAAGGCATATTTTAAACATACCATCACACAATGATTCTTTTACTTGAGCTTTCGCTGTCCAGTCTAACCTCATTCGGATATTAGATTTCCTAGTTCTTTTGTTCCACTGAATTAAGTTTAACGTCGATCGCTGAGGACACATCCAGGACATACGAAATACGTATAGAAGCTTTTTTTGAATGTCCCGAGCTTCATGTATTGTCGAAAACTCGTTCTCATAGTATATCAAATAGTGTATAGTCTGATTCAAGTTTTGTATGGATTCAAAAGCCGCTTAAGAAGTCCAAGCTTGCAGTGGCGTACCGAGGGGGCCCCCCCCCGAGAATGGGTCACGAAATTCTTGAAAGTTACTTATATGGGTTACGAAAATGTGCAAGTAACTTGTTTATAATTGTAAATAATTAGAATAATTTTTGAAAATTTTCAAAAATTCAATTTAGCCTTATAAAAAATTTTTTCGGGGGCGTTTTAGGGGCTGGAAACCGGCAAAAATTTTGAGAAGCACCCCTAAATTTTTTTTTCGGAGTGCATGGCTAACGCCACGCACCATCATTCGAAAAAAAATTTTGTCCCCCCCCCCGAGCGGAAATTCTGGGTACGCCACTGCAAGCTTGGTATATTAGTGTTTCCCGAAATTTTTTTGCAGGAGGGGAGGGGGGCAAAGGCTGCAGTGTTTATGTTCGCGATGCTTTTTCCGCAAGCTCATGACCCCGTGACAAAGAAGTGGAGGGGCGGCAGCTGCATCTAAAAGAATTTTCTGTCAAGGTCGATTCGATTTCTATGAAGATTATAAATTATCTTGATACTGTTCATGCAGACCGCTTGAATTTGTTACCTATAGTGGGAAGAGGCTAATGTGCTGAGAGAATCATTTATCAGTTATACTTGATTATAGCGAGAAAACTGCTCGGTCATATTTGACCGAAAAGAAGCGGTGAGGAGTACCACACAACCCACTCCTTTTCGATCCGATCAGTTCGGTTTTTTCATTACACAAGAGCTGACTTGGATAGTTTGAAAGTACCACCTAGAGTATGTATGTGTAGTGTGCCCTCGTGACTTTTGTGCTGTCCTTTTCTAGACTTGCTTTTTCGTTATGCATGAAATTCAATAGCGAATGTATCCTGAACAAATAACTATGTTGACTTTACGATGATACGAATGGTCATCGATCCACCTAGCTTTCATATCCAGTCGCACTTCATTCGCAGTTAATTATTTCCTCATATGACTTTCGGAACAAAATGCTAAGCAAAGAGTTCTCGGCAATTTTTTTCCTTTATCACATTTGAAACTCTTACAGTACATGACCTAAATGCTTGTCTGACGCACTGCAGTCCTAGAACATTCGCGCTAGCTTTTGGTATTCCCTATTCCTGGTTTTCAAGTTCTTTTTTCATATCGGGATAGTTTGAGGTTTTTCGTCTCATATTTAGATCTCGCATATTTATTAATCCCATTGCTGTCAATCTCTGGATTTAGACGTTCCTCAAAAAAATAATTCCTGTTCATCATTTCAACCTGTTGCATGTGTCTATTATGGCCGTTTTAGAAATATTTCGTTCTTGGAGGGGAGGGGGGGGGGAAAGAAGAGGATGCCACAGAGATTTTCTTCGATAAAGGTCCTGGCATAGGTGCCCTCCGAAAATTTCAAGATGCTTTCCGATTTTTATGCGCGGCAGTATGCATTCGAAGATTTTTACATTATTTGAGTTTATGATATATCGAGAATTGTTTCTATTCTATACAAGTAACAAATCGAATATACACAGCTGAAAGTTTGGCACTGTTTTCACTGGATGCTGAGAAAATCAAAGATTTATTTACCTTTCGAGACTTTCTACCCTCTTCCTTGTAGACACGTGATATTAGTTGAATAGTCTATAAAAAATAGTGTACACATTCTGAGATCGTAGAGCATATATTGTGCACTAACGCTTGCGAACTCTTGTGACGCAAATCATGAAAAAAATCAACACGAGTTGATATTTGACGCTACAAATATCACCTGATGAGAAGTAAGTCTAGTAAGGCATCTTGACATAATTTGCTTCAATAATTTCCAGTCTTCTCAATCATATTGCGTTTGCAGCTTGATCTGTATTTTTTTGTTTTGTCAATCTCAGTTCAAGTCCAAAAACTCTGAATTCCCTTTTGCGTTGTACACTCATTCCATGAATCCCTCAAAGGTCTTGAGAATGTTTCTCCTCACATGGTTTTTCACGAGCACGGAACGAAATGGGATATTGGACTTCCAGAAATAATTTCCTTCACAATCTCCAAAGAATGTACTCATCAGCTGTTCCCTAACGTTAATTCTCTCATATGCAAAATATTCAAGCAAACCTTTCATTTGAAATACTAGGAATTTTACATGTATAAAGTCAGACAAAGAAAAAGATACCACTGGTAATTTCATATGTCCTCCCCAGAGGTTGAGAAAGCTCCAAAGGACCGTGTGAATTCGCATCAAATAATCAAGATTACTTACCCAAAAAATCTCTTTGCATGTCAAATCTAATGTACTTTTCATGGATTTTACTTTACTACTAATTTCTGCGCTTGCATATCAATTCTAAGGCATAAAATTGACTATGCGCTTGAAACATTTGCTTATCATTTGTGAGGTCATGAAAGATGTCATTCTGTCATTTAAATTTCGTGCTTTGTGCGAAACTATAATTACGCTTTACTTGCTGCAGAAGAACTTTTAATCTTACAAACTATGAACTCGCTTTGCCCTGCCAGTACTTTTGCGCAGATTTTTGATGCATGAAACATAAAGAAACTTAAAAAATAACAAAAAAATCTGTGTGCACTTGTAAACATTACTCCCTCAAAGGTTATAGTGCTTACTTGAAAAACAATAAGATGAAATAAATGTGCAAAAAAATCTTTGTTTTGTCTTTTAAAATTCGCCCCATTGCATGACTTAGGGATTTTTTGTACACGGCTGAATATTCTAACAATCTCCTGCTCGTATGGCCAATGTCTTCTTAGGTCTTGATTTCTGATTTTGATGTTTGTTGAAACTGGTTATGTATCATCTGCTGTTTTCACAGCGAGATAAATTTCAAGGAAAACCTCATTCTCTTTCTGGCTCTGTTAGTCACAATCTTCGCTGGCATTCCAAATCGATTTCTATGTTTTTTGTGATGATGATTCGGGGCAAATTCGAAGAAAACCTATCAGTTTCAGGCTGCCCTCCAGCGTTTTCTTCCGGAAAAGCCGGCATGTCTGGCGGCTCAATGCAGAAGACATTCCATGAGGCTATGAGACAGCGGAGGACAAGTCTGCCTGCGAACAGCCTCACACTCGGCAAGGTGCAGGTAAGAATTTGCATTTGAACATATCTTTTACTTAATTTTTGCTTGTGCTGTGCGATAATCTATTAAGTCGCGCCGAAAGTTCGCACAATTTTCAAAAATCCATAACTCCTGATTATTCAAACCGAATTAACTGCTTTTATCTTTATAGGAAACAATAAATCATTTTCTTTATAAAGATATCTTAGCTTCTTACTGTCGGTCATCTGTTGCCTAGATAGGAGCAGCAGAAGAAAATTATTTCGAATTTCTGCTTAGGGTCATAAAAAATGTAATCTGCAACAAAAGTCGGAGCAGTCAGTAGATAAGTCCTACTACCTGCTCTTTCTAACAGTGCAAAGCTTGTGCTGATTGTATGTCTCTATCAAATGATGTGATTTACGAGAAAAATGTCAAAATAAATCAAAATTGACTGTATTGCTTGCTCGAAAATCGTAACTTTTTATAGAAATGTTTAATCAGCACAAACTTTGTACAGTTAGAAAGAACTAGAAAGCATGATTTACTCTTTATAAAAATAAAAGCAGCCAATTCGACTGGACGAAAGTCATGAATTTTTGAAAACGGTGCGAACGAACTTTCACGACGACCTCATATGTAGTGAAAAACAAGAGCAATGTCGTATGTTGCAAAGTGCACAAAAACTAGTACTCTTGAGAATGCTGATTCTGAAGCCAAGAAAACATTGAGTTGCTTACGCTCATTCATTAATAAGGGAAGGGACACTCATTCATTAATATATCAAATCGATGCAGCCGTTTTTAACAAGATAACATATCTGGATAACCTCCGGTAGGAACGAATTCAATCTGCACTCACTATCGGCTGTACGCTCTTTCAAAAAGAGTTTGATATATTTATCATATCGCAAAGAAGAATTTCAGGGGTGAACCTGAGACATATGACAAGAACGTCAGGTTTAACCACTTCGTTAACCTGGATGGCACAACCCTTTAATTCTGTTACTTGATCCCAACGGGCGGCCTGTAGTCAAAATCAGTAATTTCAAAAGACCATTCAGCAGATAGTATTAGGTCGTGTAATAAGTTCTGTCCCATTTCTTGTTTCAATTTTTTCTCAACAACATTGACTATATTCGAGACAAAGTGTATGTGTTTTTGAAAGCTCTAAGTCTGCTCTACAGGCTCATACGCATCATTCAGCAATATAGCAAGAAATTGAAAAAGATTTTTATCATTGAAATAAAAAATCCAAAGAGCCGAAAAATCAGTTTTCGACATCTTTTTTCCTCCAAATTTTTCTCGATTTTTATTGGTAAAACTTATGAAACAAGATTGACAACAACCAGAACAATCTATTAGACTTTTGCACTTATTCTATCACTATTTGCGCATGTTCACTTTCTTCCATCGGCTATTTAATGACATTTTTCTAAAAGTCGGCAAGGCAAGACTTTATCACGGCGATTTTCGCCGTCTCGCGTATGCAAGCTGTGTTGCTCCCAAAATTCGAATTTTGAGTATTTAACCTACGAATTTGATAATTTTGAAGCCATAAACAATCCCTTCTGTCCTTTCTGGATGATCCGCATACCGTCTTCCCTTAGGATGCCTTCAGATAATGCCCAACACCAATGTTGAAAAGGCGTTAGAAAGAAGAATTTTCTAAAGTCTACAAAAATGATTTTTGAAAAGCTTCAAGACTCCTGAAGCGCAATAGAAGCTAGAGCATTCTTTGCTTACGTGTAGCAAATTCTTCGAGCTTATTCGTAGGCATTCTGACTAATTGGGAAGGCAACGTAACGTTAGTTGTCGAAAATGGACTTTTTCCCTGTTTGGTTTTCCGAATTCGACGCTGTAAAACTTTTTCAAGTCATCTGATGTAGAAAACCGAAATGAAAGTTTTAGTAGAGAAGGCTTAGAACTTTCAAAAGCATATGAACAATTTATAGAATATGCGCAAAATATTGAGAAAAAATCGAAAGAAAAAATGGGACAGAACTTATTACACAACCTAATAAATGCAGATCTGAATTGAGCGTTCTAAATCAAGGTGAACCAGGTATATCTTACAAACGGCTGGATCAACTTGATATCCTTTTCTCGTAAGTACTTTGCATCTACCAGAAGTATTAGCAGTTGAAACCAGAAATCAGCTGATAGACTGCCAACAAGTTTCCCACACTTTTTCTGCCCTTCCACATTTGACTTCACACGTTCGCTATTTCTTCTTTGAGAACCTATTCCACTTTTTGTCATAATTTACATGCCAAGATGGTGTTTCAAGTTGCTGGCTTATTGATATTCTGGCTTTCTAGCATCGTTTTCATCTTCATTGGAGAGTTACATTGAATAGAAAGGCAAGTTGTGCCAGCACTTTAACCTCCATTTTCCTTAATCTTCCAAAAATTTTTTCATCGAATTTCAGGCCTTTTTGGAATTTTCTTGTTCTGATCAAGTACCAGTAATTCACTTTAGCTGTTCAATAACGCATTTTGACATTTAAATATCAAAAACAATGTTCTACATAAATTGAAAGAGGAAAGTATTTTTCGACATGATTAGTATTTTTTACCGTAAAGTTAACAATACATTCACGACCTGGTACTAACCAAGTCAGAGGTTGTGTAGAAAAATTCGTGTTGTTGTGGGGACGCTCGCTTGAGTCGTATGCCACGCGGGTCTGCTTTGCGTTGTTGGATACCTCAAACTCAAATTTGGGTAATTAAACCTTTATCTTTGAAACAGCTATAACAATAACAACGAAGCGATTGTGTGAGTAATGGACTTCTTAGATAACATTCAAATACAAACACAACAGGTGAGATCACTTGTTATCAAAACTTGTACTTGTCTCGTTCCTATCCGCGATCTGTTCCTCGGCGCCTCCTTATATAGCCCGCGGAGTCCATATTCCGCGGTTCGGTCTACTTGTCCTCCGGCGATCTGAAAGTCGCCTTTTGGCGATACTCGGGCCTCGGTATTGGTTTCCTTCATATTGACAATCTCTCTTCTGAGCCCGATATACTGCAGCTTCAGCTCGTTGATCGATTGCCTAAGCGTTTCCTTCTCCCTGTAGGTTTCTTTTCTTGTGTGAAACTCACAGATTGCCACCTCGTCCTCCGCAGCATTCTTAATTACGTGATGTACATTTGAGGCTGGCGAGGGGGTCGAATTATGCTGACGTCCCTGGAAGTATTTGGCTTCCTTCTGGGATCTTCCAATCTGTTCTTGAGTCGACATCATACGACTTTTTTCCTCAGGTATACTTTTGAAACAGCAGGATGTGTGATGAGTTCCTTGACAGATGAAGCACATACGTTTCTTATACTCTGCCGTAGTATGTCGCGGAGATGCACAGATGAAGCACAGTCTGTGGTCCCGAAGATACTGTGATCGAGCTTGTGGCGTGGGATAATTCGTGCATGCCATAGACTTATGCTCCTCCTTACAGTACATGCACACACGTTTAAGAGCTTCAGCTTTCTTCTTTGATGGCACTAATGTCGAAGAATCGTGTGCGCTATTTGCTTCTTTCGTATACAGCGGCACTTTTTCTTCTGTCGTGATGAAATCTTCTAACAGCTTGAGAAGAGTTTCCATATCGAAGGAGTCTCCTTTATGTAGGTACTTTCGCTACAAAACCTTTCTTTGTAACTTGTTCGGAAATTTCGAAAGAACTTGTTTGATAATGCATTGATTATCTACATGTTCTCTCTTGTCTTTGAGCTTCGCAGTGATGACTTGGATATGTTCCAGTAATATTCGCTGTTCTCTGACTGAAGAAGTGCTCAGCTGGAGTTTCTCTAGTCTATCATAAAGCCGATTGACCAACTCCTCTGTGTCTCCATACTTGTTCTTCAGGAAATCTATCGCTTTGCTGTAGTTGCTCGACGACACACGGAACTTCTTCACTGCATGAAAGGGTTCTCCTTTGAGTGCATTGAGTAGATAGTTGAACTTGAACAATTCTGGCATTGGTTGCGAGTTCACGGTTGTATCGAATAAAGTCCAAAAGTTGTCCCACTCCCAAACATCTCCATTAAATGTTGAAACTGGGAGCGTAGGTAGCTCTAGCCTTCTGCTTTCGATCGCGCCCTCCACTGCTGTACCACTTGTGTCCTTTGTTGGATGCAAGGGCGCCCTGTCATAGGACGTGAAAGCGCTTAATGGTGCTTCTAGAAGAATTGTGTAATCCAGTGAGGAGCACAGTATCATTTCGGCCTTACTTGTATATTCGTCGGAGTCTTTCCTTTCTTTCTCACTCACTTGGTCGCACTTGTCTACTGTCGTCGCGTAGTCCCGCACTTGCTGTTCAATTTTAGTGCTGCAGGTTTCAATAGACCCTATTGCTTCTTCTAAGCGCCTGCGGCATTCTCTCAAGAATGCGGGTGCTGACTCTTCAGTAGGAAGCTTAACTGTTTCAAGGTTTTCGTCTTTATAGCGTGCTATGACCGTTTCTAGCTTGCTGCAGTATCGCGATAAAAGCCGCTTGTATGTTGAAAACTGTGCGGACATTTTGTGCTAGCTTAATCACTTGTGCCTAAAGCGTGAGGGCAAAAATGTGCGCACTAAACTTTGAGCAAGAAGACGTCGATCGAGGAATATGGGTAAGATGCGTGCCAATATTCAAAATGCAGATCGATCGTCGATTTGTATGCTTCAGTAGCCAAAAATTTGCAGCAATTGCTCGGTTGCGCTATACTTGTAGCGAACTTGTAGAAAGAGGTGCGAGAAAAACTTGAAATTGGCGGTTAAAACTTGTTCTGAACCAACCTGGTTTCTTGTAGCCGATCCTTTTAGCCGATGCACCACAATTAACAATCGTGTTGCTGTGGGGGACGCTCGCTTGAGTCGTATGCCGCGCGGGTCTGCTTTGCGTTGTTGGATACCTCAAACTCAAACTTGGGTAATTAGACCTTTATCTTTAAAACAGCTATAACAATAACAACGAAGCGATTGTGTGAGTAAGAGTAATGGACTTCTTAAATAACATTCAAATACAAAAGCAACAGGTGAGATCACTTGTTATCAAAACTTGTACTTGTCTCGTTCCTATCCGCGATCTGTTCCTCGGCGGCGGCGCCTCCTTATATAGCCCACGGAATCCATAGTCCGCGGTTTGGTCTACTTGTCCTCCGGCGATCTGAAAGTCGCCTTTGGCGACAGGTTGATTGCGATATCAACTCAACAAGTGATTCAACCAAAGTAGGCAGTGTATAGGCATAGGTAAATGTAGCGTTTTCGATAGAAGAGTTATGTCGCAAATGAGTTTCATCTAAATGGACAACTGGCATTCATTTATGGAAAATGTCCGCAGGGGCGGAGCCTATTGGTGTTCTATCGCGAAGTTCTTTTACGATGTGCTTAACGCCAAGAATTGAAAGGTAGAGTCTAGACTGCAAAATATAAAAACGAACTGACACTCAGATCCTGCTTGTATACCTTCTTCACCTTAGCCCTGAATTTCAGTCCACTTGTGATTACTCATCAGTCACGATCTTATAGTGAAAGATGCGGAAAACAAGGCTGACATTAGTTTTGCACATTGTATTGTTGTTGCTCGAGGAAACTCGTACTGAGGAGGTCGGACTTACTGAGTTATTCAGATCATGCATCTACCAAATAGGGAGAACTTCCGAATTTTGACTCGCTACCAGATCTTCTTGTTGATGGACCTGCCATAAGAGTTGAAATTGTTTTGCACTGAAGGCACTGAAAGCTTAGAAACATAGATCACGATTATGCTTAGTATTCGTACGTAAACATGGAATGAGAGCGCGGACATTCGAACTTGAGGCATGAGCGTGATTTTTTGTTCTAGACGACATATTTGCACTTCAGTTAACAGTGCTTACAAGAATTGTGTTTTAGAACAGAAGGCACGTGAACACATGCTCCAGCATTGTTTGAACTATTTTTGTTTGCACTTTTCACGTGGTCTATGAGAATCTTTTTGCGTCGCGGTATAGGGGTGGCTTAGAACTCATTCTACCTCCGTTTACTCTTTGTGAGTTATTCCAACTCAAGATTACTGCAGAGTACATTGTGTGCAAGTATCAGATTGATGCAAAAATAATGGCCGTAGACTATGGGTTTTCGAAGCTATAAGTGACTTTTCTGGAGAATTAAAGCAGATACCAAGCTGAAATTTCACAGTCATGCTTCCGGGGCTTTGTGGCACAACACCTGAACTGGAGGAAGAGAGCGGAGTTAGAGGCGGAGTTTGCAGATTTTCGGTTTTCGTTTTTTTCTCAAATTCTAAATGAGTGAAATCTACAGCATAAATGAACGTTACTATGTGTCTACTATGTGATGAGCAGTTGGAGACTTGTAGGATTTCTCCGGGCGAAGATTCGATTTCTAAGCTGGCCAAATGCTCACAGATTTTGGCATCAAATTTCGCGTAGAGTTTAGGTAGACTCTTGGGTTTAGGTAGACTCTTGGTAGTCACTTTGTAGAGTTTGCTTCGTTCTATCGAATGATACCTCATTCGTATATTTCTGCATCTATATGCTTTGGTAGCGTATGCTACGGACATTTGCATCAATCTAATAAAAGTACGGCATGCAGTTAATTACTATCAATAGTAAATTTCTCTATTCTGGCACTGAGATGCAGAAATAAGCAGATCAAAGGTGTACTGAAGTATTCAAACCAAAAGTAGACGTGGTTAAAACGAACAGTCCACGTAGTTATATAAGAGTACTGAAAAAAATGAAATTACCTTGTTTATAGCTCATCAATATAGCAGCCAAAAAGCTCAAGTTAATTGTTCGAAATGATGCTGTAAAGTCTTTCATTTTCCCTCTTATCTCTCCAGGAATCTTTGCTCTACTCAGTTTTCGATACTAATCTCAGAAAAGGCTTGCAACTTATTTTTAGACCGGTGGATATGAAATGGAGCCATCGTTTCACTGTTGATATCCAAAATTTGAAAACTGCTACTCATATTGCCAAGCATGACACAGTGTGTCTCAGAAATATCAAAGAACGTAATTTGCGGCTTTTCAATTATCATTTTGTAGAGATGGCTTTTGGATCTTACAGTATAAAAGAAATATTGCTTTTCATTACTATAAACAGGAGACTCGTTCCAATAAACTTACTGAAAAAGCCGCAAACGTTCCTCAATTACATTTTCACAGTCCTATGCACAATTCAATAGGCAGCGTGGGTACGAATTTTTCAACATAGGTTTACAGGTTTTTCATATTTGAACTAGCGGATTAAGTATGATGAAAATGAATGTATCGCTTTTTTGCTGCAAATCTACAATGCCATTCTAAAATTGTGACGGGTTAGTGAAAAGAAAAAGAAATTGTTTGTATCTTGTAGGGTTTGCTCCAACTACCTTTTGCTTGTACCTCTTCGAGTGGTCGGTAAGAAAATTTCGAAAATTAGTGAAAGTTGACCAAACCGTGGGTTGTAGTCTTCAGTAATTTTCTGAAGCTCTTTGGATAACTGTAATGCAATTTGACCACTTGTTAGAGGATGAAAAGTTGTATTGAATGCTACGCTCTTTTGGAAAAAAGCAAAAGTTTTTTTTGGAAAGACCCAGTACCTTTACACTCTACATAGTTGCTCCGTGTTTGCAGATTTATTCTAAAGAGAAGTTTGAGGAGAGCTTCCACCATGTACATCTTTCCCCTTGTTAGAAAGCAAAGAGCGCTAATCCCATGTTTACGTGTTGGAAGATATTGAAGCCTAATCTCGAAGTATACGCAAATGCGTGGGGTTATCTTGTGAAACGTAAGGTCATACTTTGATGCAATCTTCTTAATCAAATCTCAAGCTTTGCATGTGCGCCAAGGCAAGAAGAGCTAAGAAAACAATTTTTTGCAAAGCGGAACCATCACATGATTCGACTGTTAGGCTGTAGTAATGGATAAACGCGTGCATCTGAGTCAGCCAACTTTTTCCGTGAGCCACGCATTTCCGTACAGCAAAATAGAAGGAAGCAATCGGATGCGTGGCGAAGTTGAACTTTAACTCGAAGTGACATTTTCACAAGTACACTGACTCAGCACACACTTCATCATCTTTTCGGAAGTCAAACGAGAACTTGAAACATTAGCTTTTCATCGCTTTCTGAAGAAAAACATCTTATCAAATTGTTGAAGTCATATCCGATGGATTAACCTTTTTTTCCTAGATTCCGTGAGAATCTTATCGTCGTGCGAAGCCTCATGTAACGCTTGTGATCGCATACTTAGAAGACTGGAAAAGTTATGACTTTGTAAATTTCTTTTATTCTCTAACTCAACAACCCATTCACACGTAAATCAAGCTTAGGTTTTGCGAAAAAATCGAATTGCGTAAAAATCATGCGTCGAAACTGTGTCGTACAATCCTAGCAAAGAGTAAGAGTACATAGTTACATCGGCAATAGCTCTATGTCATTAAAAGTCAGAAGGAAAAAGTTCACAAACTACGCGTATTTATGTCAGAAAGCAAAAAAGTGGAACGCTTTGAATGTGATACCATAACGAAAAACCTGTATATTCCATTCCTCTTTTTTTCAAATAGTTATAACATCACTGGTAACCTAGGCATCTCTAAAGATTTGCTCTAAAATATTTACATGTGGTGTGTAAACCTTCATGAAAGCTTATTTCCAAATAAATTGGGGCCAAAGCTATGTACTTAAGCTCCATAGTAAGATCAGAAGGCGTGAACTACATCACTGATTGAGTGTCAGCTTCACCTCCTAAGTTCACTTGTGCCAAAAATTTCTAGTCCACTACGGTAGTGGGCCGGGGGTTTACCATTGTTATTCTCGGTCATGAGTGAATTGTATAAGCTGCCGTTTAGATATTAGCTTGTTGGGCTCCTCGTTAGTTTCCACGTAAGAAGTCCGAATGCTCAAGCTTGACTGGAAACTGCCTTTGTGTCAAGAATTTTCTAGACTCAGCAATGGAAGTCTGTTAGTTTCCAGAACTCTGGAAAATCTCTGTCCTTTTATTAGTAGATAAAGCGTTTTACCAAATTGCTGGCTCGGCGATGAAAGTTTTGCAATTACAGACGAAGGAACTTCTATCGTGCAAAAATAATTGCTATCAAAGTGCTAAGTGGCTGGCTACGCAATTTAGGCTTCATGTTACCTAGCAGAGGATATCTAAAAAGCTAAGGGATACAATCTCTGACTACGAGTCCAGATGGTGTTCGAAGCACATTTCAAAAGTTTCAGAACCAATTTTTTCAGACATTGCCAACATCAAACGTGTCAGAAGCCCGAGGCTTGGTGGTTGACATGCTTGCAAATCGCGACCTTCCGCCAAATGTTGTTTCGTGCCTTCGAGCCGTAGCCACGCTCTTGAATCCCCATACGGTGAGCTAAACTCTTTTTCTTCATTTCTTGAAGTTTCAAAAAGCCACAGCTTTAGCCTCTTTCGCTGCACTCGCTAAACGACTTCGGGCTTCCATGTGTGGTTGAGAATCCGTACAGCGGAGAGCAGTTAATCGTATCTAACGTGAGCTTTTCCTTTTCTTATTGTTGTCAGTTAAGCCTAGGTTTTAGATATCTTCAATAGAATGTTGTCAGGCAATGAGATGTCTAGGATAGAGAGTGTATGCAAATGTTGCGTGCTATTTGATGAAAGGATAATAATCTCATGCCCCTTGGGAATTCTCGTAAACAAAAAGCCCTTATCGAATTCTCCCATTATACCGCATCTCCAGCAGTGGAGGTGATGCCTTCGGTGCCGTTGCCACCAGAAAAGGATTCCAGTTCATTTTTTCGGAGACATACAACTCCGTCTTTTTCATTATCCAGTCATCTGCACTTACTTATCCATTTCTCAAGCAAAGAAAGCGTAAATACTTCTATTTGCAAAAATGACGCGATCTACTTCCTAATCCATAGCAGTCAAATCTAATGTTACTGATAGGTTATACGTTGCCTTATTAGCACTTTCAGTTCTCAATTATCTCGGTAACTTCAACTTTCACTTGTACTTTTTGTTTTCAGTCAGTAAATGGTACTTGAGTTTGCCTCTGATATTTCGTTCAGTTCAAAATGTAGGTGGAATTACCAGCTTGTTCTATTCCAAGTGCTCAAATAATCTAATTCGTTCCAGACAATTGAATAATTCTGTGCACCATTTGCGTATAAGCGTTTGCAAAGCGCTGTGTTTTTGCCACCATGAAAGAAATGCGAAAGTAAAATTTTTCATTATTTCATCTGAATTTGAGAAACAGCGTGCATCTAGAATCTCGACTTTTGGTTTCGTTACCTTGGAATAGTATCAACTTTACATAGATTTATTTCGTAGAACATTTAAAAAGACTTATCTGTTTTTAACAATACTGGAAGCTGTGCTAAATGTTGATTGTTTTAACTTCCACTGACAGCCAGCAGAAGCAATACCCACTCAAATTATTGAGTACCACGTGCATTTTCAGGCATCTTCATCTTTTCATTATCCTAGTTTCTTGTATCTAGAATTTGGAAAAAAAAGTTGAAAAATTCCATTCTGATGTCCTTTTCTAACGAATATGAGCAAGAGCTCGGTTGCAATTTTGCTGAAAGCAAGCACGAGCACAAATCACGAGAAGCGCATTGATTGTCCTTGCAAGTTCAAAAGGCGTTGGAAGATAATCCATGAATGGGCGGAGCGCGTCAAAAGGGGGCGGGAGGTGTTTCTTCTTGGACCAGTCCCAATGTCCTTCACTTCTTAGAGCCTCTGCATGTGTACTATGTATAATCTGGAGAGCACAGTTATGATGTGAACGCTGCCAAATGCTTTATTTTTTCGAGTTCAGATGACTTCTTGACATTTTATTCTCGAAATATTACTGACTCAGTCTATTCGGATTGTATAGTATTGATATTGATGACAAACAAAAACTCTCAAAGCTTTTTTTGCTGCCAGATTTGAGGTACCGAAACTATAGCTAGGGTGGTCATCATTGGTCATTTCCACAGCAGAGTGCAAAAGTAATGCAATTACACAAAGCTACTGTTGGAATCAGAATGACCGTATCTGCTCGAAGAAGTATAAATTTTTAGTCTTTAGTATCGCTAACGAGTTTCGCTATGACTTGACCAGACATGCTTTGGAGAAGTCAGAAGTTGCTTAATGAATGCGCTTCATACGCGGTCTTCATATGAATTCGTTAGCTAGCAACTTGTTCAAGGAAAAAACCTCAACTGAGCAAAGTGCGACTTCTGAGTTCCCATGATTATGTGCATCGATTGTCCAAAGGATTCTTCAGTCGTCCCGTTTTGTCGTTCACAACAATCCTCCACAGGAAGATTGCTCTGACGAAAGCGTTAAGTTCTACTGTTGAATCCTCATTAGCTTTTCTTGATTGTTTGTGTGTTGCTTGGACAAGATGTGCTAGTTTACAGTTTTGGATGCAAAGATTTGCTGATTAACCGCTTGTTGCATTTTTGCTCAATCTGAGAACTGGACATCCAATTTCTGCAAGAGAGGCATTCCTCATATCGATGCTAGCGAGACTTTACTCGTCCATAAGCGCCTAATTTTTAATTGAGTTGTCTTATAAGTTCGTCCTTTTCACTTTTCCCCCAGTAACTCCCAATTTCTTGATTCTTAAGAAAGCTTTGGGGCACCTTTCGATAAAACAAAGCAAGTTCCACGGGTATTCAAACATTCATACAGAGCTCCTCATTTGATTCGAAATTAAACTCTAAAAACTTCAGAACTCAGCAACTCCAAAAAAAATCAGAACTCTGCTCAAAAAATTGCTAAAAGCCTCAAACTATTTAACGCATGCACACTCCTCATCTACACTCATATGACACACTTGCTATGATTTTTTGGGGCCTGAAAATCACGAAAACGAAATTTTGCGTGGATTTCTCAAAGCCATGCTGGGCTGTTCCTAGGTAATTCTATAGCATAAACCTTCAACGGAATAACCACAGCTTTTTAGCTTCCAGCAAGTGGTAGTTTCGAGAAATGTCAGATTTAGTGTAAAAATACAAAGAAAGACATTTTCGTATTTCTAGACCATTTTTTCTCAGATTATGCTTTGAAAAAATACAGCAATGTAATGAACGTTAGCTGAGGAATGTAACAAGTTGAACAAGTTTGAGGCTCTTAAAAATTTCTCAGATTGAATTTCAATTCTTTTCGAGCTTTCGGACTATTGCAAGCATTCAACTTTTGATTTCGAAGCTGGAAAGTAAAGGTGGAACGATTGGACATTACTTTGTAAAGCATGCTTTGCTTTATCGAAGAATAGCCCAGGTTTTTTTAAGATTCATGAATGGGAGTTATTGGGATGGAAGATGGAAACGGACGGAACTTACATATGGGACAACCGGTTCAAAGAGATTTTTTTCACAACAGAAAGATCAACAATCACTTGAACCCTAGCCTTTGGGATTATTCTCGCGGTCATCTTGCGTGTCCTTTTCTGGTACTCACTTTTCATATTTACTCACTATTCATTGTTAATCGTTCCTGTCCTTTACACGTGTCAGGTACATGAGAAGTTCAAATGAGGTTTCGGTCTCTTCGATCAAGCACACTCGTCCCAAGCGAACCATTCACAAGATTACACTAATCCTTCACGGCTCATTCCACATGAATATGTTAGTCACATGATTCATCAATATCCTTTCTAAGGGGACTGGTCTTTTTGGTCAGATGGTGGGTGGCTCTTCTTTGGCTTTGGCCATACTTTGCCCGTGTTGCCGATGTTACCAGTGTTACCGGTGTTGCCGATGTTTCCAGTGTTACTCGTGTTACCACCTTTATGTTGATTCTCGAAATGATCGCCAGTACAGTTTCATTCTTGAACGCAGTCTCACTGAGTGGTAAGTATACAGGACCTGAGGCGATCATACTGCAATAATAATACCATGCTAGAAATTTGCTTCAAAAAAGTTCTTTTTTTCTTTCAGTTTTTTTTAGTTTCAGTTTCAAAACTTTTTTTTCAAAGAAGGGAATGTGCTCCTTCTCACATACGGCCGCGAAAATGATGACACGTTCGAGGACAAGGTCTCTTAAAGTTCGATCAAAACGTCCAAAACGCTAGCCTACGTTAGAGCTCATTGTGCTACAAATCAAACAATATGATTATATTTGTGTCATAAAACTATTTGAAGCAAGTTTCTAGCATGGTATTATTATTACAGTATGATTGCCCTCAGTCCTGTATACTCACCACTCAGTGAGACTGCGTTCAAGAATGAAACTGTACTGGCGATCATTTCAAGAATCAACAGCAATAAAGGTGGTAACACGAGTAACACTGGAAACATCTGCAGCACGAGTAACACGAGTAACACTGGAAACATCGGCAACACCGGTAACACTGGTAACATCGGCAACACGGGCTAAGTATGGCCAAAGCCTTACAAGGAATGCTTTCATTTTTTTTTTCAAACAGGTGGTTCTTCCCCTTTCGTCTTACTTATGCGCTTCAACAAAGCTTTTCGAGAAGATGATCAAAGCCCAGCATCAGGTGCAAATGCAGGCTTGTCTATCGGAATTCTGATTAGACTAACTAGAGCATATCCTCGAAGAATATGTAAGTGGGCGGCAGTAGAGGTCTCCCTAATCCGCCTCCTCTTATTAATACTCTTTCTCTCTCACTCCATTCGAGTTCTGCCCTTTCGATCTGAATAGAGCGCACTTCCTGAGCTTCTTCCTGCACACCGAATGCCATAGTAACCAAGTTCCAGCATCCCTTGATGTTACTCGTCATCACATAGTTGCTCCTCTCTGGCTAATCCTCAAGCGCATATGACATTTGCTATGATATATTGCTTGTGCTGGAGCTGCTTCGGTCGAATGTCGTACCTTTGCTACGCCATCCTTGTGTCGCAGACGTAATTGCACATCTCATTGAGATCAACTTCAAAGTTATCCAAAATGCTCGTAATCAAAGTTTGCGATGCCAAATGTAATTAGCAATCTAGGCTCTTCCAATGGAGACAGACAACACTTTTCCTAAAGAATTTCTTCATACACAACAAAAATTTATAGTTGAAACAAATAAAAAATTGTTTACGAAGCTTTTCTTCCCTTAGAATTTTCCGGCATGAGATATCATCAAGTTGACGGTAATTTCAATTATACTTTCTCTTTTTGATTCTGGAAAATTCCAGAAGCTTCCTGAGAATCTCAAATTCGCTTCATATTAGGGAGATAACACGATCTAACCAATTCTTGATTGATGCCGCAAATGCACGCATAGTCAGCAGGTTCACAACAGTTTTTGTAAACATGCTCAAAGTTCCATCTTTTGAGTTTTTTCCCTTTCCCTGTGTTTTTAAACAAACTTGTTAGAACGCATTTTCGCACTTTCTTATAGGGATTCTGGATGCTTCCAACTTCACGAAAACGGATGGAGAATGTTTTAGTAAATTGTGTGGAAGTCAGAGCTTGGAAGTGATTTTTGTAATAATCAAAGACTTCTTTCCGGTTGATGATAGGAATGGATAAAAAAATATGACACCATTTATTCGCTAACCTAATAGTTTTCACTTTTTCTT